TGTGTGTGTGAAAGTGTGTGTGTGTTAGTGTGTGTGTGTGTGTGTTTGTTTGTTTTCTTTGTTGTGTCAGGAGCTTGGAGGCAGTTCTTCTGTTTTTGTGCAGAAAGTGGAAGAAGAGCTGAACTCAAACAACTCCATTCAATCTTTCTACCGAGAAGGGGGGGGGGGGGGGGCTGAACGGACTCGGGTTCTGGTGATTTGGATCAGTTTGTACCGAAGTCCATCAGGTGAAGTCGTCGTGTTTGTTACCTGTCCGACTCTTCGCTGACAGAAACTCCAGTTTAAACGCAAATCACTGCACTATTTATCTGCAGCAGGTAAGATACTGACTGTTCATAGCCGTTCACTTTAACGTCCCACCTCTAATAAAACTCACCTGAAAGGTGAGGAGCCAGTCCTGGAGGCCAGAAGGAGGCGGGCCAGAGGTGACGCGCCGCCGCTGAGCCGAATGCCCGTTGGCCAGCCGGAGGTCCCCGAACGTGGTGGGCGTGGCCTGAGCCAGACTGGAGGGGCTGTGGGGAGACGCACAGGTGATGGGTTCAGGTAGAAAACTGGCAGGTTAGTTGTTAAATCTGTTAAATCTGTTAAATAGTGAGTAGAGCGCAGAGTTGTGACAAACGTCAACAGGACGGCCCGTTCTCGTTGGACCCTGCTGCTGCCCTGGGGTCAGAATGAACCACGAGGCCTCGGCTCGTTTGACCCCAGGACAGCAGCAGGGCTGCTTCATTTGTAACAGTTTGGTTCTTGTTTGGTTCCTGCAGCAACAAAATCTTATTTTATCCTCGTAAAAACAAAATTTATGAAATTTATTTACACAAAACTAACTTTAGTTAAAAGAACTTGAATTGAAGTGAAGCCAGATAAAACTTTAAAACAGGTGTGTTACCTGAGGACGCCGCTGCCTTTGTGTTTCTTCCCTGAAGGGAACGTCCGGCCGTCCGGACCCTGGTCCAACTTCCTCTTCATCTGAAAGACAGGACAGACACTCAGGGACAGGGACAATTGTCTCGGCTGGGACACCACCAACAGGGACAGGGACAATTGTCTCGACTGGGACACCACCAACAGGGACAATTGTCTCGGCTGGGACACCACCAACAGAACTGGAGTTTTGGAAACAAGATTTAAAACTTAAAATAAATAAAAAATAATAAAGTCTGGCCTAAAAAGGAAGAGTAGCTAAAAAGCTAGCTAAAAGCTTAAAAGTAACCAAAGACTAGCTAAAAGCAACAGAAGTCTGCCTGAAAGCTTAAATTAGCAGAACAGTAACTGAAAGGCTAAAAGCAGCAAAAAGCAAGGTAAAGGTAGTAAAACTAAAAACAGCTAAATGGTAGTTAAAGCTGAAAGTAGCAGAACAAAAGCTGTAAGCTAATAGTAGCAGAATGGCTAAATTAAATCTAGCATAACACTAGCTAAAAGTAGCTGAACACTAGTTAAAAGTAGCAGAATAGCTAAAAGTAGCTGAACACTAGTTAAAAGTAGCAGAATAGCTAAAAGTAGCTGAACACTAGTTAAAAGTAGCAGAATAGCGAAAAGTAGCAGAACACTAGTTAAAAGTAGCAGAACACTAGTTAAAAGTAGCAGAACACTAGTTAAAAGTAGCTGAACACTAGTTAAAAGTAGCAGAACACTAGTTAAAAGTAGCAGAACA